ATCATCTTTTGCTCTTTATTTTTATTTCTTATTGTGTATTTATTTTTTTTCTTTAATGGTTTCCCTTGTGAATGCCCAGAGTTGTTGGACGTTGGGCAGAATAAAATTTTAATATGATATATTCAGTTTCAGTTTCTTTCCTACTTAACTTTTAGGAACATATGGATTAAAATAAATTTCTTAGAAGGAAAACTTACAGACATTTAAAAGGAGAGTGATTTGATCTTTAATTGCTTAGCCATTTGTTGCATTTATTTTATTTTAAATATGATAGTCTTTCTATTTCTTTTTGCTGTCATCTAGTGGTTGCCGGGATTTTTTTCACATCAGATATCATAACTGTAACTAGTAGTCTTCTATTACTATCCTTTTCTATGGGAAAAATATATTGCCAAACGAGGCTTTTGATTGGAAATATATATAAAAGTACTAAAGATTAGTAAATTATTCAGTGACTCCTTGAAGCGACACTACATTTTCCCAAAAGAATATTTTGCTATTAAGTACATGCTATTGATTTCCTTTTTAAAGAAACCATCAACTTGATCAAACGAGAATTGTTCTAAAGTATGTTCCTTCCCTTTTTGTCCAGTGACAATTATTGGTTGGTTCTGTCTATCATTTGTCAAATTTATTTCAAACATTATGTTCTGCTAATGTCTGAATGAATAGCCTTTTTTCTTCACAGCTGGTAAATGTCAATAGTAAGCAGAAAAATTCACCTAATGTATTCTCTAGACTGATATAGTACCTGTGATGAAAAGATACAAGGGGGAGGGGGGGAGCTTTGGGATTAATTTATCCCCTGTTTTTGTTCAAGGAAGATGTAAATAAATTGCCTGCTCTCCTCTCTGAAAATCATACCAGAAAAAGACATGGATTAGCTTCTTCTCTGTTCAAGAAATCTCAGGAAGTTGTACAAGTTAGGTTCACAGAAGTCAGGTGCCATTTGAAGGGGATAAAAAAGAGGCATACATGGTAAGGTCAAATGGATATGTGTGCACAAATGAAACAAGCAACACTGCATTGTCACATATACGTTTTGAGAGCTCGTATTATAAGATTCCAACATTACTTTTTATGTTTTTAACAAAAGCATCAGATCCTGTGGACATTTTTGGCAATGTACAGAGAAACTTTTCCTAACATATCTCGATAATCTCATATCCAAGCACTTTTAATTATCAGACCATCATAGTTTCATCAATATAATTATTACAATAACTAAGTTCCTATCCATGAAAACCTTGGGTTGCTTTGAACCTCATTCTTAGGACGGCACCTTAAGCTTTCTCTAGAACTTCTTTTGATCGAGATTTAAAATTTTTATGGAGGTTGGTGCATGCTTCCATGGCTGCCCAGTTCCTGATCTGAAAAAGACCCAGAGAGATTTGAAGGTTAGTTGTTGAATTAAGAGTGGTATATGATGAAGGTAAAGCATATGGAAAAGAATAAACAATGTTAATGAATGTTTCAACACTGAGCAGGGAATAAAACAAGGATGTGTGATGTCCCCTAGCTTTTTAAAGTGTTCATGTATAAAAGTATCAGCAGTGTTTATATGTGGTAACCTGTTGTGTGGAATGAATATGAGAATTGGAGAAATACAAATTGAATAAGATAGCAACTCTTTACTTAAGTGCCTGTTGAATGAATGTGCTTCCAATACAAAAGTGACTGATCTGTAGAACAAAAGAACATTGAAGTTTAAAAGAATGAATGAGGAAGTGAAAGAATGAATGAGGAATTGATTGCAGAACAAACATGAAGGAGGAATGAATTAGTTGAAAGGAGAGGCAAGATCAAGGAAGGCTGAAATCCTGAAAACAGAGAGAAGTTGAGATAACAAAAAATAGTGAATGCACATGGTAGAAGCAGAGCAAGGATAGAAAGATTTGCAAGAATAGAAAGCTAAGGAGAGAGATATAATGACTGGCATTGTTATAAATGTGTATAGCATTTGATGATTATACTGTTCATCTCCTTGTGATTGTGAAACTTTCAAGTAGAAGACAGTATCATGCTTATAAATCAATGTTTCTGGGGACACATGCTTCCTGATTCAAAATTTTAGGAAACAGACCATTGGCTTTTTGGCATTTGTGGTCTGAGAGGGCTCTAGGATTTGGGGAAAAAAAAACCTTTGGAGGGGGTCATTTGTCACTGTGAGACTTCAGGTTGCTGACCTTCTCATTAGTTTCAAATCAAATTAAATCCTTTATTACAGACATGGACCAGATGTAGATACAATTTAGTAACACTATTATAGGAGGGAAAGGGACTGGGATAAAGGTACAGTAGCTGACCAATTTACATGAAAGACAGGAGAAAGAAGAGGAAAAGTAGAAATAGCAAAGAAGAAGTGAAGTGCCAGCCCACATTTAAGGGCAATGCGAACAGTAAGAAATGCTTAAATGTTAAGTAAGTACAAAGCTATATTGCTGTACAGCAATCTAGTAAAGTATTTAGATATAAAGGGAGAAGCTTCAGGTTTAATTCATCCCCTGTTTTTACTTAAGTACATAAATTGCTTGTCCTTTCTGAAAATAATGCCAGGAAAAGATATGTCTTAGTTTCTTTGCTATTCAATATTTTAAAACATTTAGTTGTGGTGATACAATGCAGAAGTATATACTAAAATAATAATGTTATACCTGGAATTGACAATGAACGTAAATGACAATGATCACTTAATTGTTAATTATAATCATAATTTATAGTTATATTATATAAGGAGATAGAGAGAGAGAGAAGGAAACGAAAAAAATGGTCCAAGGATGTTGGGATGTGTAGGTGATGTCAAGATCTGAATCTGAAAGAAGGTAGCTGGCATAGAAATTGTCTGTTCTCCCCAAATCTCACAATAAAAGAAAAGTTATAATCTTGTTTCAAAGATCCTTGAAGAAATTCCAGTAAAGGAGGCTTTAGTTTGTATGTATTGTTTTTAAGGACAGGGACACATAAAACAGAAGAAATTTCTATTCTTCTCCCAGTCCCATCATTCCCTGAATGCTTACATAATTTTAGTTAATCTTAGAATCCTGAATATGCATTCCTATGCATTATAAAAAAGCAGCATATGAAATACTTTCCTCCGTACACCCTGAATATGTATTTTTCAGAGAGGCATTTTGCAACAAACCCAGAATGAAGAGTTTTCCCTTCCTAAGGCAAGCAAGTTTTGCTGATTACATGCAAATCTCTCCGAGGCCAAATTGGATTTGGCATCACTACAAAGTGAACATGCACCCCAAAGAGAAATAATTTTGGTAAATGAGTGACTGTTGTCCAGTTCTGGAACAATTCCAAAGCCCTCATTCGAACAGGGTGAGCCTGAATGATGGGGGGGGGGGGAGATTTGTTCCCCAAATATACTGATGAGGGCCAGAAAGTCACAGCCAATACTATTGTCAGCAAGCAGTAACTATCCAGCAAGAGGATGAAAGGGGATAAGTGGAGTAAACAAATAAGAAGGAAGGATGAAGTGAAATTCAAATAGTGGCACAAAGCTGGGTCACAATAGAAAATAAAGCCATAGCCTCTTCCTTGTGAGAACTTTACAGGTTTTGGAAGGCTGTTTCCCCTTAGCCTTCTCTTATTTACGCTAATGTTTGAATTTAATGGGTTAGTATTAGGGCTGACCTTTCCTTGGGAAAAGAGAGCTGGCAATCTTGAATAGCAGCAGCACAGCCAACTTCACAATCTTTTCCTCTAGCTTTTCCCTTCTTCTGATACTGACCTGAGTGTAAGTGCTGAAGCGAAATGTCAATCTTCTTTATGGGGCTTTCACTCACGTAGATCTCACTGAAGCATAAATGTGCCAGCAGCCTTTTCTGCTCTGTCCCCATGACCCCTCTTACCCCAGTCCATAAGCGTGACAGATTTCAGTCATCTTCAGCTGTACCAATGTTAAGACAGGCTTAAAGTGGATAAAATCTGTTAGGCTTTTACTTCAGAGGGAAGTTAGATAATTGGCAGTAACTGGAAAGAAAAGCAGTAGAGGCAGGAAAGAGTTTGGCAGTGGGGAACAGCAACTTTTCATGCTGGCATACTTTTCTGCCAACTCAAGGGTAAGTGGAGAGAACTTCAACTCAGTGGAGGAAAAAGGCAGTATGTGAGATGGAAAGAAGTCTCCATCCTTTCCCGCAGGCAGAAAATTTTCATAGGTCAGTCTTGAAGACAAGAGTATAGCTGTCCCTGCTCTATCCAGTCAAATGTTTCTTTCAGTCCTGCACTTATCTATATACCCTTTGTGAGTTAAACAAGGAGTCTGAAATGCCAAAGGCTGAAGCCACAATATTCCACTGTTTTCTAATCCCATCCCTAAAAAAGTAATTCTTCTTTCATTCAAATCAGTTTAAAACTTTGCACGACTGGGTTCCTAAAGAGAATACCTAGAGATGCTCTGTATCATGTACCCAATAGAGATCCAAAAAAAAGCAAAGCAAACATGGCTTTGAAAGTGAAGGGAATCCTCCAGCAATTTTGGGTAGCTGTGGAACCTTAAGGAACTATTTTACAGTCTGCACCAATTAAAGTAAGGATGGTCTAACATCTCTCTGCCAGTTTTCATCAGAAAATCTGCCCTGCTTCTGATATTTGATGTTGCTGCTCAGAAGGAGCTACAAGCCCAAAATTCTTAGAGCACATCATTTCCATATTTAAGTCTTTCCCAGTGCAACTAATTGGGTTGTTGTCAAAACAAACCCTTCCCATAAATCTTAGAACTGCTGAAAGGGAGAATGGGAAGAAGTTCTGGGGAGACAGGAAATAGAAGGCAGGGCTCCTCCTTGCTTCTCCTTGTGAGGCATGTCAAAGCAAAGAATTCAAGTGAACAATTCTTTGGAATGCAGTGAACATATGCCCAAGCCCTATAGACCCTCTCTTTTAAAGTTCTTGCCTGCCTGCAGCTTTTGTTCAGATCACTCCAGTCCTTTTCGTGCTTGCAGCTACTGTGTACAAGTATTACTTTTTAAAATGATTTTTTTTTCCTTTGATAGATCCATGGGAAGTGCATTTGCAGACATAACACTGCAGGACACCATTGTGAGAAGTGTGCGCCATTATACAATGACCAGCCATGGGAGCCGGGCGATGGAAAAACTGGGGCAGCAAATGAATGCAGAAGTATGTGGGTCTCTGGGAGAGAGGGAAGGAGGGAGCAACACAACAATGAATCTTTCCAACCTACGAGCAAAGCCCTGGTGACTAAATCTGGATTTATGATGTTTTAGCAGCAGATGGGGAATGGTCTAAGAAAATGTATGAAAATGCTTTTAAGTCTTCCTTTCTTTTGCTCTTTGCATAAAAAGACATCAGCCGTGTTCTGTATCCCAGCAAAATTCAGCCAATCATCAAAATAGAATTATTGAGAAAGCAGAATTATTAGCATTTAAAAGCAGAATGGGTTTTAGTCCCTCGGCTTCTGTTATATAAATCCTACATTCCCTAGTAAATGTGTTTCCATGTGTGTATTATGTAGAACATAGAATCATATATTCATGAATTCAAATATAAAATATATTCGGCCTACTTGCTATATTGCAAATTTAAATATATTATAAAATAAAACAAAGCTCTAGTTTTAAAGAGACTTGTCTTTTTTACTGTTTTCTAATAAAGCAGGTGACAATATGCAGTAGGATTTTTAAAATTTACCAGTTCTTAGCCTTAAAGGGAAGAAAACATTTATTTTCATTGAATTAAGGGTAAAAAAATGGCAACACTTTGTTTGCTGTTGTTTATTGTTATTACGCAGAATATGGTGTGGATATCAAGCTGGAATAATCTTTGGTAAAATTATACTGGATAAAACAAAACTTTAGCTGTACTGTAGGGAAGTTCTTTATATCGAGGTAAATGATTTCTCTTTATAAAATTTCCAACTATCAGAATCCTTTTGTCTTAGAGGTATGGTACAATCCATCTCTGCTTCTTCCTTGTTTTGCTGGCAATTTGTTTTATAAGCAGGTGGTCAGCACTCCAAAGAAAATCAGGTTGAAACTAGTCAGAAGAGGAATAGCCTAAGATTGGACAATGGTTATTCAGGTCAAGCACAGCAATAAACAAACTTTATTTATATCCCAATGATTTTATAAGAAGTAAAGGAGGAAGAATTCTCTATCTTTCACAATTGTTTAATAGCTTAAAAAAGCAACAAGGCAGCCACCTCATTCACAGACCATAATAACAATTAAGAACGTAAAGGAATAAACTGAAATGTTACATTATTCAATTATTGTTATTTATAGAGCAACCTTAGCTACTCTTGGAACAGGTACCAAAATCAATCCTATATTCCTTTACTCAAGGTATAATTTTTTTTCCAGACAGAGGGATGATAGATAGACAGACAGACAGACACGTGTAGGCACATACAGACTCACTTTTCTTCAACTATAAGTAAGATCCATGCTTTTCTTTCCCTGAACCTCAACTTGTGCTTTGCCTTCTTTTTCTCTTTATCCTCCCTCTCTCAATTTCCCGCCTGCCCGCTACAGAGTGCCGCTGTCACCATCGTGCAGATAGCTGTCATTTTGACCAGAAGGTCTGGCTGGCCTCTGGGAAGAAGAGTGGTGGGATCTGCGATAACTGCAAGCACAACACTGAAGGTTTCCGGTGTCAAAGGTGTAAGCCTGGTTTTTACCGAGATAGAGCCAAACCTATAACTTCTCCAGACATTTGCAAAGGTAAGTGGCTTTGTTTTGCTAAATGTAATACTGAGAAATACACAAGGAACATATTTATCAATAAAATATTTATAGCTCACGATTGCACTGTGGGTTCCTTGGTGCTCTCTGAGCGTGGTTATTTTCTTGCAGATGTTTCATTACCAAACTAGGTAACATCACCAATGCTAGTGGTAGAAGTGTACTGATAGAAGAGAATATCTGTAGCTCAGGGTTGAACTGTGAGTTCCCTTGGTGCTCTCTGAGCTTGATTGTTTTCTTGCATATATTTATCATTATCAAACTAGTTAGCACTGATGATGTTACCTAGTTTGGTAATAAAATGTCTTCAAGAAAACGACCACGCTCAAAGAGTGCCAAGGAACCCACAGAATATGTTGGTAGCTATCAAAAGGAAAATGTCTTTATTCATTTATTTAAAAGGTGCCCATTCATTCCTTTATTTTGGAAGGTTTCTGTCCCTTAGAAATAGAGATATTCATTTAGTTAGCAGCTGAATGCAAACACATTTTACACTTTTTACTAATCCATGAACTAATATTCAAAGATTTTTCAGCTCTGTGAATTTTGCAGTATAGTTTGCCAATAATAAAGGTGTATTAGCATAAAACGAAATATCCTTCAGATTTATCTATTTAATGCCTTTACCATTGAAATCAGGATAAATATACATATATTTGTGAAAATAATGTATTACATAAGAGATGTTTTAGAAAATGATGCAAAATTGCAAAGCAAAATGCATGCTTAGAGAAATGTCCACCAAACTGCATATGTATTTTAATATGCATATGAATTTTAAAAAATATATTGAAAAAATCAAATCTGAACTTGACATTGTTATAAATATGGGTTGCTGAAGACATCAGTATCGATAGATTGGTCTACCCATATTGAAGACTTGCAAGCAATCTGAATCTACTACATGCTCCACCATTGATTTCCTTAGCCAAGAATGATTTGCTAATTTTAATTTTACTATGGTAGGGCTTTGCATCTCATGCAATCATAATACTTTAACCCCAGTTTCAGATTTCAAAACTTGGAGGCAAAATATTTCCAGTGCAAATGTCTCCCTTAATTAAAGTACGAATTTCCATTCTGCAAATGGCTTCATGTTCAGGCTAGTGGGTTGAAATTATATCCTGAAATTATTATAGTTGTGGCTGTGGTGTGAAAACTGCTGCAGATCAGCTTTTTATCACGCAGAATGGATCACACCAGAAGTCCTGTGGGAAGAGAAAAGGGTGTCCAGAGTGCCCAGGGCTTTTAAATAAGACCAGATGACAACTGGCATTCAAAGAATCCTGGATTGCATTGGTCTCAAAAGATGTACAGTAGTTTTTCATCCTTGTTTCTTATATTTGCCACCTGCATTTCCTTTAAGGCATTAATGTTCATTTCATATGTAATGTTGACACTATCATGGGGAGATAGGGCCAAAGTCTGCCTCCTTATTAGAAGCAAGCCTTTCAATTGCAAAGGCAGGATCTCTTTTTTCCTACTACACCTGCTTTCCCTCCAAGATTTCTTGACTTGAGTTACTGGCTGACTTCTGGGATTTCTCCTGCTGCTTTGATAGACTTGATCAAGGTTGCCTTTAAACTCAGGTTACATATGCTTTTCACACTGGGATTGCCAGGCCTCTGATGTTGCTCAGGTGACCTCCAGTTCACAACACTTCCTCTGTTTTTGCTCTTTTGTGTTTGCCTTTCTTGAATACTAGTGCTGGCTCAGCCTTCATACTGCTCCCCTCCCCCGCCTTCACCTATTTGTAACCTTTTGTGAAAGCACATGGATCAAGGATCTATATAACCTACTGGTATTGCCCAGCCGTGGTGTGTGACACCAAAGGACTTCCCTTGTGGCTCTTTCTTCCATTCTCAGAAGTTTTGCTAAAAAGGAAGCTTTGTAAAGTCATTGTTGCGCCCGATTAAATTTCAAGACTTAGTTGAAAGAGTTTGCGTCCTTGCTCTAATGCCTGGTCATGCTGCCAACGCTCCCTAATCAGTAAGAAGTATTATTAGATAGTCACCTGGAGGGGAACAGCTTAGAGGTAAAACTATTATAAGCTGTGGAAACTTTACTAAAGGCTGCATGAATGAAACTTTATCTCAGTTTTCTTCATGGCTCTTTGATCTGATCTGGCCATTGACTGCCCAATATAGGAGAAGGCAATTTCTTCCCCCCCCCACTAAATTCACCTCTGTGAGTATTAGCATCAGCAGCTCACCAAATTATTCTCATCAAATAAGTCTCTTTGAAAATTACAAGCTATATTGGATGTTGTATTTGACAGCATTGGTTACCTGTGTATTCAGTGATATTTTTGTCTTTTGAATCTTTTGTCATATGCCACCCTTAGTATTTGCGATATGATACGGAATTTAATACTTAACAGTTTATGAGATATCATAATTCCCTTCTGTAAATAGCAGAACGGATTAGATGCGAAAAGGTGTAAAGCATATTTAAAAAGATAAATACATTTGAAATTAAATTTCAGGTGTGATAATTTCAGATTCTCTGTTTAATTTTTAATTAAGTTATCCTTTTTAAGGATCAGCCCTGCCCTTCTATTGCAAATACATCATATACTGTTATCATGCCTCATTTGTAACCATCAAAAACTTCAACACATTTAACATTTTTTTCTGGCTTTGCCAAAATCTTGCCAAAAAAGAAAAAAAACAAAGAAGGGTTGGGAGTCTACCTGAAGGATACAAAAACAACTTAAGCGCAGCTAGATTTATAGTCATGTGTCTCTTGCAGTATTTTGTTTCTTCTATGGATCTGCATTTGCACTGCCCACCTCCCAAAGGAGGATACATAACTTTGAATGTCTTTGGTCACTCTGAGTACATTCTAAGCATCATTCGTATGAGATGATGTCCTTGCATCACAAAGGTACACATTTTCAAATTAGCTGTATTGCATAAGGAGAGGTGCTTGTTTCCCTCTGATAGTAACATAAGATGGATATGCTTACATAGAGTGACAGTATTCATTCCTATGTCACTGGGATCAGTTACTAGTAGATGTGAAAATGGGAATGACCTTGGGAGACTGGGCAAAGAGAGGCAGCCAAGGGAATGTGCACAGGGCCTGAGGCTCAAGACAGACCTCCCTAGTTTCTGGCTAGGGGATGTGGGGGAAACATATTTATTTTCACCCCATCTTTATTGTTTATAAACAACTCAAGATGGTGAACATAGTTAATACTCCTTCCTCCTCCTCCTATTTTCTCACAAGAATCCTGTGAGCTGGATTCAGCTGAGAGAGTGCCTGGCTCAAAGTCACCCAACTTGCTTTTTCATGCCTATGGTCGAACTAGAACTCATAGTCTCCTGGTTCCTAGGCCAGCACCTTAACACTAGACCAGGGGTAGGCAACCTTGGCTCTTTTATGACTCGTGGACTTCAACTCCCAGAATTCCTGAGCCAGCCATGCTTGCTCAGGAATTCTGGGAGTTGAAGTCCACGAGTCATAAAAGAGCCAAGGTTGCCTACCCCTGCCCTAGACCAAATTGGTTTTACTGTTATCCTTAAAGACTTGTAAGATTCTGTTAGTGTAATGTGACAGTAAAGTAGATTTAACTTATCTGGCTGTGTTTCCCATCTGATCTACCTTGCAAGGCTGACATCAGCATGCTGAAACTTTTATTGCCAAGTATTGTATGCTTCAGTACAACTGTGCTTCCCAATCATTCATAGGGATTTTTTTTTATTTGACATTAGTCGCATAACAAAAGGCTGAGACTCATTGCCCCAATCACATTAAACTTTGAAGATGCTAGGAATACAGCAGTTATGCCTTTCTTGACAAATTCTGGCAACTTTTTGTCTCATTTACCAAGACTAATGACATTTGTGTGACATTTGCTTTTATTCTCCTGAAACCACGCATATACCATATGCATAAAGAAGTCACTAGTAGTGTTTAGTTATGTTATGAGTCCTTTGGGTGATGCTAAGAAAATATCTACATGAGGCTAAAAACACCTGATGGTTCTTTCTTGCAATGTTTGCATATGTTTGGTATGAAAGTTGATTACCTTTAGAAAATGGAGCAGGATGCATGATCTCTCTCTTGGTATGTATTCTAAAAAAAATTACTGAGAAAACATACCATGGTGTTGCCAATGTTGTGTCCGTAAAATTGCTTTAAATATCTGTCTAGGATCAATAGAAGTTTTTAATTAGTGTTTTGTGCTTCTTGATTTCCCCATTCGTAGGTGATTTCACAAGAGCCCCATTGCCCAACTAGTTTGAGGACTAGCAAAAACATTTTACTGCCTGAAAAAATGTATTATACATACTGTACATACATACATACATACATATACATATAATAAGTTGGTGTGTGTTAGTCTATGTATCTTTTTTCTTATCTGGAATACAGCTACTTATCCAGTCCTGTTAAGTCTATGAAGTTTCTGCTGTTACTGAATGCAGATTTGTGTTTCTGGAGAGTTGATACTTATTTTCATCTTTATTGTGAAGTCTATTAGTTAGGGACTTCTAGAGGAGGCATGGTGAATTAAAGAAATCTCTGTCGAAGCAGAGCTGGCAACTGTGTCAAAAACCAAAGAGCCAGCGAGCAGAATGGTTCTTCAGAACTCTCTTGATAAGGAAAGGTTGGGAGATCATCCACATGTGCTCTAGTTGGCTACTCCTCATGGGAACACCACAGGACAACTGTCTTCTGCAGGTTTGAGCACTAGGAGACAAAGGGATTAGCCATCTTGCTTCCAAATGCAGTAGAGCAGGGGTGTCAAACTCGCAACGACACGTGACGTGTCGCGATGTATTGCAACTTTTTCCCCACTGCTGGAGCTGGGGTGGGCACTGGGGTGGGCACGGTTTCAGCATGTGGGCCGACAGTTTGACACCCCTGCAGTAGAGTCTTTTAAACAACACTGCATTCACAAGCCCCACTTTCTAATGTCTTTTGGAAATTGCCTATTAATCACTTAGAAGCTATTAGAGACCTTTAGTATG